CGCGGTCCTGGGTGTCTGTGCGTGTTGGGTGTGGGTACTGGGTCCGTCCGCACGGTACTAGGTTTCTGCCCCACAGCGTGGTCCTGTGTTGTACCGGGGACCATCCTTCATTCCACCACGTCCTGCCCCTGGATCTGCATGCAGCCCAGGCCTTTGCCGCGACGCAGCGGTGCAGCCACTGGTGGCGTTTTCAGCCTGGTTACCGGGCTGCACGACTGCGCCGCAGGGAGGGGCTCCCGTGGAGATTCAGTCGGAATCTGCCCTTCCCACCGGGCAGTGGAGTGTGGTGGTTTGTTTTTGAGACAGGGTCTTTCTGGGCTGCCAGGGTGGAGTGCAGTGGCGTGATCACGGCTCACTGCCGCCCCAACCGCCCAGGCTCAAGTGGTCCTGACTCCTGACCCGGCAGAGCGGCTGGAACCGCAGGCAGGCGCCACCGCACACGGCTGAGCTTTAAATTTTTGTGCAGATGAGTTCTCACTCTGTGGCCCAGGCTGGTCTCAAAGCTTCAGGATCAGGAGATCTTCACTTCCCTGTCACACCCCCTGACCTGTGCCCTGCTCCATCCTGACCTGTGCCCTGCTCCGTCCCCGACCTGTGCCCTGCTCTGTCCCCGACCTGTGCCCTGCCCCGTCCTGACCTGTGCCCTGCCCCATCCTGACCTGTGCCCTGCCCCGTCCCCTCACTTGTGCCGTGTGCATTTCCCCCTTGCATGTGCCATTCCTGATGGGCATTTAGGGTCCTTCCTGCTCTTCAGGTGACTCAGCAGCCGGTGCCCCTCATTCCCACAAGCCCCTTCTCCAGTGCACGCTGCCCCGTGGACCTGCGGTTCTGGAGCGCTGCCTTCATCACGTTACTGGCGGTGCCCGTCCACGCTCACAGGGCCGCTTGTTTTGCCCACCAGCCCTGCCTGCGGTGCCCGTCCCTCACAGCCTTGCTAACATCTGTGTGCAGCTTTTTTTAGCTCTCCCCAAACAATCTGGGCATTTGGCTGCCAAGCGCCGGAGCCCTCGAGCTCTCAGTGCTGGCTGGAGGAACCCAGGCCATCGCATGCCCGCTGGTGCCAGTTGTGATCGGGTCCTGGCCATGTTCCTCTGGGAGGCCGGCCGCTCACCTGTGACCGGGGGTGGCTGTGGTCCCTGTCGTGTGCCCACACCCAGGTTATTCTCACTTCCAGTCATGCCCTTCCCGATTCTCTGGCCAAGAACTCCAACCAGTGCGTCCACACCGCAGCTCCAGAGTCAGGGATCCCCCCACCCGTCTGCCTCACGATGTGGCCCCCATCCCCCCACCCGTCTGCCCACGACGTGGCCTCCCTCCTCCCACCTGTCTGCCTCACAGTGTGGCCTCCCTCCCCCCNCCCCCCACCCGTCTGCCCACCACGTGTCCTCCCTCCCCCCACCCGTCTGTCCACAACGTGGCCTCCCTCCCCCTCACCTGCCCGCCTCACGGATGTCGCCTCCCTTCTCTGCCCTCCCCACAACCGCGTTTCTTCCCTCTCACCCTGTCTGACCCTGAGAAGCTCAGAGAATCAGTGCCCCCTCTTGGTAGCCTGGGAAGGCCTCTGCCCTCCTCACCCAGCAAGGGCTGGCGTGGCCTCACACACACGTGGACTCACAGCCAGACACGGGTCCGTCGTCAGAGGTGGCCTGGTTAGGACCAGGCAGAATGCCGCTGGGGTACACGCAGGTCCCAAGGGAGACACCCCAAGGACACCCGTGACGCCATTCTGGCCTTTGAACCATGTAAATACTTTCTTTCTTTTTTTTTTTTCTTTTTGAGACTGAGTCTCGCTCTGTCGCCCAGGCTGGAGTGCAGTGGTGCGATCTCAGCTCCCCACAACCTCTGCCTCCCGGGTTCAAGCGACTCTCCTGTGATTCTCCTGCCTCAGCCTCCCGAGCAGCCGGAATTACAGGAGCCCGCCACCACCCCCGGCCATTGTTGTGTTTTTAGTAGGGATGGGTTTCAGTATGTCCACCAGGCTGGTCTCCAACTCCTGACCTCCAGTCATCCTCCCTCCTCAGCCTCTGAGAGCGCTGGGATTACAGGTGTGAGTCACCTCACCCGGCCTCTCGTAAACACTTTACACGTTCAAAATACAGTTAAAAAAAGGAAGAAAGAAAAACCCTAAAATAGAACCGAGACAGAAGAAGTGACCCAGCTGTGTGTCATGTTGATGCGGTAATTACAGGGGGCAGAGTTACTGTGATGATTTTTAAACGCGGAGATTGAACTTCAACACTGGGAAACTCTGGGGCGGGGAGGGCGGGGAGGGCGGGGTGGGTGGCAACCGCCTCCCCACAGCCCCGGCCGCACGCTGCTCCACTCCTACCCCTGGTTGGGGCACTGATGGGGCTGTGCTGCTGCCGTGAGACGCTCCCTGTGGCACCCGCAGAGGGTGGTTTACGTGGGGAGGCAGGAGCAGCACAGGTGTGGGGGGCTCCCGGTGGGACCCCGTCCTGTCTCCAGGGCCCTGCTCCCTGTGCACCCTTCCCCTGGCTCCCAGCCGACCCTTCTGCCCTCCTGACTCTCCCCAGCTCCGCCGGGGGACGGCTATGTGCAGGCAGACGCCCGGGGCCCCCCGGAGCCCGAGGAGCACCTGTACGTCAACACCCAGGGTCTGGACGCCCCTGAGCCGGAGGACACGGCGCCCCTGCAGCCCAAGGACAGCCCCAAGAAGGATCTGTTTGATATGCGTATGTGGGCAGCGTGGGGGAGGCCCCCGCCGCGTGGCCCTGCTGTCTGATGGGGGAGTCACAGCACCCCCCTCCCCGGGATCCCTGGTTTGATGGGGGAGGCTCATCCTCCTCCCCTTGAGATTCTCCAAGTCAACAAGGGTGGTGGGGAAGCCCTGTCTGTTTCCTGTTGGAGGCCTTGTCTGATGGGGGCGGCCTGGACTCTGCTGTAAAAGGGGCCAGTCTGGCGGGGGGGCCGTTTCCCTTCAGGGAACGCAGCTGGGCTGTGTGGTGGGTGAGGCTCAGCCCTCCTACAGGACCTCGTTCCTGGGGCGTCCCTGCTGAACTCTCCAGTCTGACTGGGGGTGCTGCCGGCCCCCACCCTGTGAGAAGCTCCAGTCTCTCGGGGGTGACCCACCTGCCTCTGTCGGAACGCCCCGTCTGAAGGGAGGGGCTTCCTCATTCCTTGAAAGAACGGTCCACGTGGTGGGAGGCGGCGGCCCCCTCTGTGAGACCCTCCAGGCAACAGGGGAAGCCAGACCCATGCTCCACGCCCCGTGGACTCCTTAGTCTGAGAGGGGAGGCCTTGCCTTTTCTCCGTGGGACCCGCCGCCTGCCGGGGCTCGGGTGGCTGCCTGCTCTGTGGGTCGTGCCCCCGACTCTGGGTCTCCCTGGTCTGATGAGGTCTTCATGTGACTCCTGGGTCTGAGGGTTCTTCCTACGGAAGTCCCAGCCTGACGGGGGAGGCGCAGCTTCCTGCTTGAAGGAACCCCTGGTCCAAGGAGGGAGGCTCAGTCCACACCCAGACGCAGTGGCTTGTCCGGGCGAGCCCATTCCCTCCTTCCCCATGGGATGACCCAGCCCGAGGGAGGCCCCAGTCTGAAGGCGGAGGCTCGTCCTGCCTTGCCAAAGGTGTCGCATTCTCTCCGGATTTCCTGCAGCGTCCACGCTGCCCTCCTCCGGCATGGAGGGGTGTTGGCTCTGAGCTGCCGGGTGGGGTCCTCGCCCGAGCCCCGGACACCTCCCCCGCTAGCTGTAGGTTTCTTCCTTCCCTCCACCATCTGACAACGCAGCTTCTTAGCATCGCAGTAATGACACTAGCGAGCACCCAGTGGGCGCCTCCTCAGCACCAGGCGCTGCACGGCGCCCTCAGACGGGCACGGAGGGGCTTGAGCTGTGAGTTCCCTCCGAGGCAGGCGACCCTCAGGGCGACCGGACTGACCGCCAGGCAGCCCCGGTGAGGGAGGGTGGCGTCTTGTCCGTCCTCCGTGGAGAGTCCTGGGGCTGCTTCTGATTTGCCACATGGGCATCCCGAGCCAACCGCTGGCCGGAGGGCGAGGTGAACATGCAGACTGGGCAGGCTAGGAGTCGGAGCTGGCTCAGCGCCAGGGTCCGGGCAGGAGGACTCCGGGGACCAGGAGCCAGAGGAGTGCGAGGCCACCCCAGCCACAGGGAGACCAGGCAGTGAGGGTCCGGGCGGGAGGACTCCGGGGACCAGGAGCCAGAGGAATGCGAGGCCACCCCAGCCACAGGGAGACCAGGCAGTGAGGGTCGGGGCGGGAGGAGTCCCGGGACCAGGAGCCAGAGGAATTCCAGCCACCCCAGCCACAGGGAGCTGCGTCTGCCTCAGGGCCGGGGTCCCGGCACGGCAGCGTCTGAGCTGTGCTGCGTTCTGCCCGGGGAGATGCCCACCCCCGCTTTGCAGTGAGGGAACTGAGGCCCCGAGGAGGCCTGCGTGGGCTGTTGGAGTTAGTACCGTTGGAACCTTCAAGAAACCCCGGGCAGACCGTTACAGGGTTTTCGCTGGCGCCTGGGACCAGAGAGGGAGCCTGCTGCTGTGCGGGCTGTGTGGCGTGTGCCGGAGGTCGTGGCCAGCGCAGTAAGGCCAGTGAGGAAACAGGAGGGGCACGCCGCGGGAGGGAAGCCCGCCTAACAAGGCAAGAGTGAGAAATAGGAGTTAACGTCTGAAAGACAGAGCTGCCGCCGCCCGTTTACAGCTCAGAAAACCCAGCCCGGGCTTCCAGGCCACTGCACACGTGAGCCACGGTGCCCACGGGGCTGAGCGGAGTGCGGGTCCCACACGCTGTGGGTGCTCGGTCAGCGCAGACCGATGAGTCATGGGGGCCTCCCCGGGGAACCCGTTCCTCCCAGCTCTGGTCCCAGCAGGAGCAGCTGCCCGGCCCCTACACGGCCCCTGCGCGCCCAGCGCTGCTGTCCTTGGCCTACAGGACCCTTTGAGGATGCCTTGAAGCTGCATGAGTGCTCAGCGGCTGCGGGTACAGCAGCCCCACTTCCCTTGGAGGACCAGTGGCCCAGCCCCCCCACCCGCCGGGCCCCAGTGGCGCCCACGGAGGAGCAGCTGCGGCAGGAGCCCTGGTACCATGGCAGGATGAGCCGCCGGGCGGCAGAGAGGCTACTCCGCGCGGACGGGGACTTCCTGGTGCGGGACAGCGTCACCAACCCTGGGCAGTACGTCCTCACCGGCATGCACGCGGGGCGGCCCAAGCACCTGCTGCTGGTGGACCCTGAGGGCGCGGTGAGTGGGCACATTCGGGGGGTCCGCGGGCATCCGACCCCGAGGGCGCGGTGGGTGGGCACGGCCGGGGGGTCCGCGGGCATCGGACCCCGAGGGCGCGGTGGGTGGGCACGGCTGGGGGGTCTGCGGGCATCCAACCCTGAGGGCGCGGTGAGGGCACAGCCAGGGGAGTCTGCGGGCATCCGACCCCGAGGGCGCGGTGAGTGGGCAC